GTGGGGGCTTCAGCTCTGCCTGTACCAATGTAGCGCCCATGCCCATCCCAATACCCTAGTATTCCCTGCAGTCTAGGGCAGAAGCTGTGATGCCAGTGGGCTGTCTTCTGGCAGTGCCAAGACCAGGTTTTGACTGCTGCTGTTTCCAGGCTGAAGTCTCCTTCCTTGTTTCAAAAGTCACTTTGTAATTTCCTGGGTACTGTTTAACCTCTCTGGTGGTCACCTTCCTCTTTATCATGGTAAGTTTGGGACAAACATCCTCCCAGATGGTTCTGTATATGCCAGGTGCACAGGCATGTCCATGGGTGGGCAATGTATCTCCCACCTGTCTTCAGTGGTATCATTTAGATTGCCTGTACCATCATTGGAGGAACAGAACAGTTTTAGATTGCAATTAATGTCATCATTTTTAGATGTCTACCTTAGGATGGCATAAATTACGCTCTTGAAGCATCTGTGTTCTGCAGTGAGGATTAAAAGGAACCTAGACAGTTAGCTCGTACATAGACATAAGCCATGTAATCTGGTAGGGTGAGGTTCCTCTACAGATTTTGACACCTGATGTCTTCTGTGGACTGTTGGTATAGACGCCCAGTGCACGCGGTGTCTGGCTGTGTCTGCTGCTCAGCGCACTCTGAACAGGCCCTCTAAAACACGGGGTGGAGGTAGAAGGGGCTGGGAGATGGCCGTCTAAATCAATTCACACCCTTTTGCAGGGAAATCCTCAGCTGGTCATTCTGCTAGCTGCCCCAGGCTGCCCCAGCATCTCACCTCAGAAAGTCATTTGCAGAAAAACTGCCAGAGGAAAATCGTCTCAAGGGAATTACTTGAACCACCATAGCATCCAGCCCTGCGGATGGCACACACTCTTCCACTCTCCTGGAGTGTCCATGAGTCTGTGCATGAAGCTTGCAAATCAGAATTCCTTTGTCAATTAAATTGCATTTTTTTCAGTGTGTCAGGCCTTTAGCTGGTGGTTCAGTGTGGTTTCGAGGAGCCAAAGGGACCCATGTCACTCAGATCATAAACCTTATTTTAATGACAGCAGATTTTAAAAAGTGGATGTCAAAGCGGATAGAGGAAGAGCATTGCAAAATTAATATTGAGTTAGCCAAATCTTTTTTTTTTCCAATGGCTTATCCTAAAGCAAAAGTAGTTATCAGTGAGCAAAAGGTCAGTAAGTTAAAATTAATCTTAAGAATATTTTTAGTTCATTCTGCCTTTAGAGAAAATGTGTGCTTGATCCATGTAATTTGACTGCATTTACACACTTTCTGAAAGGCATTACATGAATATGTGGAACATGCCTCCAACTGTATGCATGCAGCATATGGATGAATGTCTTCAAGCTCCTGAGAAGTCTTGCAATTCTGTATACAATGGCGTCATTGTACAAAATATTTCTGCACGTCTGCATTAAGTTTTATAGCCTTCTAAAATTTAATCCCTATTCCTCTGCTTAAAAATTTGCCAGCCGGAGGTCAGCTTTCTCCCAGACTAAATTCCTGTGATTGTGACCAGTTTTTCCCATTCTGTCCTCTTTTTTACTCTTCAATGCTGCTTTTAAGCACGCTCAGCCAATAGCAGAGTTTGAGTCTTGCTGGACAGGTAGTCTGTGTCCTCTGAAGGTGGGAGAACAAGCATCAGTTGGGGATCATCTGAAGTAACCTTCAACTCAGTGACTTTAATATTTTGTAGCTGAACACAGATATTTATGGATCTTTGTTGGGCATGCTCAGAAGAACCTGAGATTGCTGCAGGTTTTCACACTTCATGCCTCCTAATCCATATACTCTACATTTTCCCTACCAGTTGCTGAGAATCCAGTAGAATTTGTAAGAGTCAAGCCTAACCTGAAATGGTTTAAATAGGATTTTTTCATGAATTGGAATTTAATCTGAAGTATTAATCTCTTGTCTCTATTGGTCCTCAGACTGACTAAATATTTATTTTCAGTCATTGGCTTAGAATGAACATTGACCTTAAGCCTGGTATGCCCTAATGAGGACCTGTTGAGCACTGTTTCTTTTCCAGTCTGGCTAAGGAGGACTATAACTGAAATGCAGTTCCTTGGAAAAGCCAATTTTATTTTAATGCATGTTGTGTTAGAAACAGTTTGCTATTACAGCCAACAGCATGCTGTGAGTGCAAATAGGGCAATTCAGCCTGTCTTCCATTAGTTCTGACTAGATATATATGCATCATGTATCCTTTGTGTTGAGGTCCTAAGGGATTGATTTATGGTGAGGAGCAAATGAGCTGATGGGGCTTTTTCTGTCCTGCTTTCCCTTCCTTCCAGTAATCTCCACCTCTCCTTGGAAAATTCTGCGACTCCTTATCTTCCCTATGCAGCAAAACAACCAGCTTCTTGTGGAGCCCCTCAATACCCACTGCAGATTTAGGAAATTAGAGAAAAGGTGCAAGCTAGCGTAGCACAAATGTGAGTGATGTTCATTATCTGGCAGAGATGCTGGAAATAGTTGTCAAAGTCAGCTGGAAAACCATCATGTAGTCCCACCTTGGTGACATGAGTCTTCATTTTGAATTTTTTATGTCACACGAACCAGTTTAACTGGTCTTCACCTGAACAAGGAACTGAAATGGCACAATTTCACTCAGAGATGAATCTAAATCAGAACTGATTTGAAAACCGCAGCTGCTTGTTCTTAATCTTTGTACTGCTCTGTGGGAGAAACACGGCTTTGGCGGTCTTAGACTTCGGGAAGCACAGACTCCCTCTCAGCCTGTTGTGGCAATGAGATGGAGAGTGATCTGAGGATTTGCATAATCTCTTTCTAAATAGCAGTTCCGAGGCTCTTTTGCCCTAGAGACTGATGGAATTGCAGTACACATGGAAAACTTTCTACAGCATAAAAATACAGTGTGCTGTAACTAAAAATTTCAAAATTATGCAAATATCCAAAGGGCAGAGTTGAGGCTATATGTGCAACCTTTACTTTGCAATTTCCTGGCAGTCAGAGGTTTGATTTTATAACTTAAGTCACATATACTGTTGTCATTTCCCTCCTACTGGCATTTCAAATAGCTTTATCAGAAACAGGAGAAAGAGACCTGGGCATTTGCAAACCTTCAGGCCAGCTCTGTGCATGGGACACGTTTCTTCTGGTCAGTAAAGCTTGGGAAGGGAACCACCATAAAACCAGAGGTGGTAAGGACAGGAAGACAGGCAAACCAACTTCCTACCCACCGGTTATTTACCAGCACAACAGAATGGAGTTACAGGAATTGAAGAGAGCAAAAAGCAAAGGAGGATCAGATGCATTAGCTGCATACTTGAGTATTTCCCGTGGCTGGCTGTAGGCAATGATACAGCATTTTTTTTAAAGGAAAGTGTAAAATGCTTATTACATTTAACTGCAATATGCTGCCTGAAGAAACTGAAAGCCATTCATCCGTGCCAACGCAGACCAATGTGCTCGGCAGTATTCATGCTGACAAGAGGAGGCTCCAACACTATCTAGGAAATTCTGTGGAGTGGAGTGCACAGAATTATGTTGTAAGATCTGGTGTCAGCACAGTGAAGGCATCATAATGCATGACCAGTAACTAGCAGTGTACCTTAGGGGTCCTTACTGGGTTCGTTCCTGTTCAACATCTTCGCTAAATGTCTGGGTGGTGGGGCAGAGTGTACCCTATAATGACACAAAACTGGGAGGAGTAGCTGATACAGCAGAGGGTTGTGCTGCCATCCAGAGGGACCTTGGCAGGCTGGAGGAATGGGCTGACGGGAACCTCATGCAGTTCAACAAGCAGAAGTGCAAAGTCCTGCACCTGGGGAGGAACAACCCCATGCGCTAGTACACGCTGGGGGCTGACCAGTTGCAAAGCAGCTTTGCAGAAAAGGACCTGGGGGTCCTGACAGACACCAACTTGACCGTGAGCGAGCAATGTGCCTTGTGGCAAAGAAAGCAAATCACATCCTGGGTTGCATTAGGAGGAGTGTTGTCAGCAGGTCGAGGGAGGTGACCCCCTCTAGTGGGTCATGTAGGATAGGTGATAATAGAAAATATATAATTGCATTTCTAAGTCAGTTTAGTAGAGAAATTCCTAGAAATAATCAGATTTTTTTTCTTTTCTGAATATCAATACAAAATATGTTCTGTGCATACTTCATGTGCTTTATCTCTGCAGACAGTACTTTTATGCTATATAAATGTATCTGGTAATATAGTACAACTAAATTATCTAATAGTTTTACACAGTTCAGACATTAATTCTGTTCTGTGCAGTGTGATGTTGTGGTTCCAAGGCAGCCCCTTTCTTAGCACGAAGGACTCTGATGCATTGAAAGCTGCCTGTGCCCCACTCTTCACTGGGGCTCTGTGTTGCTCCAGTTCGGTTTTGCTGAATCACTGTCTGAAGCGATGGGATGGGTGAATTCTCATGAGTGATGAAGGATACCGAGAGGACAGTGTTAGGCAGGCCAGAGAATATGCCACTGGGAGGATTCACGAGTCTAAAATCCGTGGCATGTGCAAGAGTCCAGTCAAAACACAGGTGACGGTGGCTGATTATTTTTCCAACACCTCTCTTCTATATTCTTTTAAAGCTTGTAAACCTGGGGCAAGGATTCATAGTCAAAGTCAAGTGGGATAGCCCTTAGCACAGCGTGTTAACAAGAGAAAAGGCTTTTACTCTGAGTATGCTATTACACACTGCTGAAGAAATAAGGGTTTGTGGTTTCTGTTGCCTAGAACCAGTTGACAGCAAAAGCTTTTATCCAAGTGAGTTTAGACTCTGAGCAATATTTTTTAAAACCATTAATGCCAAGTTTGTTTCTGATACACTTATTTGTAAGAGTCCTCCTCTACTAGTATGCTGCATGGAGCTTTCCATGCCTCTTTTCTTTACTGTGCAAATGAGTAAGAACTGCAGTTTACATTCTAAGGCAATTTTTTATTTCTTCCAGCCTTTTAATTTATGATGCCAGGCACCGATTTACTCTAAATGTTAAAAAATATCTGTAATCCCTTTCACAGCTGCAAAGGTTTTTTGAGATATTCTTCAAAAGCAGTTCTCCGCAGCAAGCCTTCAACAACATGAAGGAAGCTATAAGCAAACTTCTACTTATAACTGAGGTCTTCAGTGAATCATCTGCCTCAGGACCAAATTCTTTCAATCAGTAAGTGACTTGCAGTGGTCATTGCTGTGCTATTGTCAAGATAGCTCCTTAGAACAGAACAAAAATTGTAGAGGGTACATGACTCCTAAAATAACAAATTCCCTCTATTTCATACTTCCTTATAGAATAAAATGAGGATGTTCTGCATGTAGGGAATAAAACTCTTCAATATCTGCGGTGTTTCTAGTTTGCAAAAAGGTTATGATGAATACCAGGCAGTAGAAATGAACAGAAATCACTCACAACTGGGCTAGTCCTAGCATATATAAAGCTGTATTTCCCTTCAGTAAGCCCTCTGTCATATGTCAAATATGTAAAGTTAGAGTAGCCCAGATGGATCAGAGCTGGCTACGGCAGGCAGTCTGAACAAGAGACCCGGTAGAATACTTTGTGAAATGGACCTTACGACATACACCTAGGCAGCAACAGCCACTTTTCTGTGGGTTTTAAATTATTGTAATCACTTCTGTTTGAGTATTACAGTTCTTACAAGTAAATCAATATTTATTATGTAATATTTTTGTTAATTAAAATTAATATTTGTTCTATATATGTTATGTCACATCCCTGACATTTTTATGGTAAATAGTAAATAAGTTGCTATTTACTACATTTTTATGTTTTATAAAGCTATTTAAGAGCCCAGGTGTTTTAGTAGCAGTAATATAAAGCTCATTATTTGACTTAAGCAAGTTGGGAATAAAGCTTACATTGTGAGTGGAGAGGGTAGCGAGGAGTGTAACAGGTATGGAGCTATTTTGACAGTGGTCCAAACTCTAACATTTTTTTACCAGTGGGATGGATGTCTCTTGTTTTTGTAACCCAAGACTTGCTTAGAGCTCCTGGCTGATGCCTTCAAACATCCCCACAGCTGTAGTACAACTCTTTGGCTTCAATGAGCCCAGAGAGTTTACCCTCTATTGCCCTCCAAATGTCTTCAGACCTTTTGCAGGACCTCATTCTCATTAAAAGGCATTTCCTCCTCCAGTGTAGTTCACGCCCCTCACTGATTTAAAAGTCAACCATATAAATACACTTCAATATAGCACTGTTTTCATCGGCTCAAAATCTGACTCTGTCTATGTTTAATGCTGCTGGCTCTTCTTAGAAATTTTATTTAGTGTGGATCACATGCTTTCTCATGACCTGTGTGTGTATGTTCTTGTGTACGTTCTCTGGACCTCTGTGTGTATGTCATTGTAGCATATATTTCACAACAATACCTAACCTCACTGACTCTCATTCCTGTTATATTGCATTTCAGATGCAGACAATGTTTTCAAATGCTAACCTTTGACATTGGATTCAGCACTTCCATATACCCAGTAGTTCTTGAGGTGAGAAAATTACACAAATTATTGCCTGACCCTAAAACTTCCACCAAAAAGCATACAGCAGGGAACCCTCTCTGACAGTTGCCTACAAACCTCTGAGAAATGTTCAAGTACATTAATATTAATTTTGCCCAACAGTGGAGAGTTGCTGCAGGAGAAACAAATTTTTAAGGGACAGAATTCCTGTGATGAAGTTCACCACACCATTGAAGAGTGCAAACCTCTCAGTTTTAGCATTAGGGGATTATCACCCCAGCTGAATATCAGCTAAACAAAATCCATAGGAAGCACTGCATGCAAGTAGAGTTAGGTAGTACCTGTGCCAGAACAAAGAGGAAGGGAGGAAGTTAAAATACCACCACTGGCTTTTAATACAAATTAAAGCTCCCCATGATTCTATGATTCTATGAATTGCATTGTACTTCTCCAGTTCGTCACCTGCTTTGACCTCCACTGTGCCGCCTTCTTCCTGGAGGGTCCTCAAGGCTCTCAAAACCAGAGAAATGTGACCTGTGGCATAAAACCCCCATGCCAATTTTTTACCACTCCTGCCTCAGAACAGCCTGGCAGTAATAAAAATGGTATGGTTTTCCAGCTGCTTCTCATTACCCCTGTATATACATATGAATATATATATACACACCCTAGTTATATAAAATAGTTGCCCACATTTATTATACACAAAAGGAAAATAAAATTTTGTAAATATATCCTGGGAAATTACAGGAGAACACTTTTAAAATTCATCCTCATTTAAAATCTATTCAAGTTTCTAGTAACAAAAGTGCAGTCAATCTCTCCATCCTTCAAAAAACAAAGATCCTTTAAGCACAAAGGAAAAATGGATATATGAAAGAAAGTTTTCAAAATTAAAAAAAGCCATGACGACAATATCCTTAATTAGTCTGACAAGATGTGCCTAGCTAGTATAAGAAATGTGACATGCCATTACTATTTAGGAAGCGTATACCAGGCTGTAAAAAAATTCTCCCAGGAGTTTCTTAAAAAAATAAACATAAAGCATAATATCTACCTGCCTGTATAGTAGTCTCAACCATCAGCCTTAATCCATAAATGTACAGCAGATCAGTAGTGTTTAACAGTTTCTTATGAAAATACAAATTAATCTAAAAAATAATGGTTGATAATTACTGTGACATTTGACTTTGTATAGTATCCTGTGGAAACTGTAGTAAGCACACACCCCATGCAGCTTGAATTTATATTTTTGTTTACGCTAAAATATTAATTTATTCATATTTTATAAACATGAGTTTATTCACTGTGTTTATCTGTTGTAAAATTTATACCTTCATATGTAGTAACTCCTAAATGGCTCAGAGAGTTGAGTTAACATATAAGGTGACATCTTATTTCTTTTATCAAATTTCAAATCAAACACGAACAAAAAGCTCTCACATGAGAATGCAATATTGTACTCTATCCACTGGAGGTCAGCAAACATTGTGGTGTGTAGTTCTGACAGAAAATGTGGTACAGTATTTATTTGCTATATTATAATCCTATCTGTTTTATTAGTGTTGTTATGACTTTTTTTTTATAAATAATTCCAGTTTGATATATGTGGTTATGAGAAGATTGGACTTCATATCCAAACTATAAATTCTTATATTGTTTTCCAACAGGTGCACGAAAACTTTGACTTTCAAGATGAGGATGAATCAAATATTCAGGACCAAAGTTTCAAAGAATTTCTTTTTGAAGATACTTTTAAATTTCTCTTATCTAATGAATCCTCAACATCCAGTTTCATAGAAGCTTTACAAAAAATATATGGCTCAGCTGTGAGCAAGGTAGTTCATTCCACCTTTTCCTTATTATTAACTATTTGAAAATATTTCATTCTAAATTGTATGCCTTTCTGAAATTGTTGATGCCAACTTACAGAATGAGGGATTCATTTAATCAAAACTATCTGTTACTGAATTCTGGGGAAGTCATGAATAAAGCTGTAATTATATTGAACAATCAAATTTTCTTCAATAAAAATTCCACTCTCAAATTATGTCATTTCCCAAAGTACAGTAACTTAAAGATACATTTAAAACTTTAACAAAGTAATTTCCCTACCTTTTTTTTAAATGGTGTTTTTTAATAAACAGGTTTTTGTGTTTTCATAAAGCTGGAACTGATTTACTCAAACGAGTAGATTCACAAACACCAGAATTAAATTTTCTTTCCTACAACTTTGTGTCTTACTCTGAATGCGAGGTCCACTTGCATAGGGTCTGTATAAATTTTGCATCACTTGTGGAATCTATTTCTGATGAGCTGGGAACTCCTTTAGCAGTATTTCTCTCAGTCTGGGCACTGGTAAAGGGGCATTTCTGAGGAGTCCCCTGCTTTCAAGACTTACAGACTACATTGTCCTTGTGACTTCTGCCTCTTAAGCAGGTGAGACTAAAACAGGGTCGTGGGTTCTAAATTTATTACAGGATAAAGTAGGAAGCCGCAGACGTATGCACATGTACAATACAATTACCTAAGTCTGTTTTCCGTAGGAGACCAGACCACATTTCAAGCTGTTCAATTCATTGCCTATACCTTAGGCAGCCTCTTCCCGTGGTAGTTTCTGTGGGTTCTTTTCTACCCAAAGCTAATGCACAGTCTACTCCATTCTAGACTGAGTAATGGGAAGAGTTATCAAGGAGCTGGCTTGACATGACTTTGGATAAGGTTAAAACAGGTTGAGAGCTGCTGTAACTTGTCCCTTTGATCACCAAAGGGATTGGGGTCTAATGAAAGCACATTGCTTTCCATGTGATTTCACCAGAATATGCTGCCCTTTCCTTCATAGGATGGAACTTACCACAAAGAAGATGAGCAATGTTTGTCTTTGGAAGAGATAAATTCAATGATTACTTTCATAAAGGAGCTGAAGAGTCTTGGACAATTTGAGCTGGTAAAATAAACAGGATTGTGCTGTATTGGATACATTCTCTTTATGTTTCTCTTTCATTATCATTCTTTGCTGTCTCTGCCACATGCATTAGGCTGAACAGGGAAACAGGGAGATAGAGATTATTCTGATTTTATTTTGGAGTATTTTTGGAATTTAAATTAAAGGAGATAAAGATATAAAACAGAGAATTTGAGTTGAGGATTCATTGAAAAGGGCAGCTAGAGCAGAAACAGACCAGAAAATAGAATGAAAGGAAAAGGAGGAAAAATATGTAAATTAGTAATGAGTTGGTAAGAAAATAGAAATATTATGAAACAAAGCAGGTGTGAATGGAAGAACTGGAGACAGCAAAAAAACCTGAGATCATAACCAGAGAATAGATATAGATGAAAAAGTGGCCAAAAAAAAGCAGGTGGAATATGTAATATGTTTTCTTCACACTTCGAGTTAATTTTTGGAGAAGAATAGTGATGGAGGAATAACAGTGTCTGTGAATAGGCATGGCAGTTAATGAGGGAAATGATGACTACTGGGGAAATAAAAGATCTGCAACTGGATCTGGTGTCCAGGAAGTCTGCATGATATCAGGATTTCTTCTAGACCTCTTGGATGAGTACCAGGGTTGAAGACTGATGAGGCTTTCTGAAGAGGGACAGAGTGGAATAGATCTGCAAGTCAACTCAGAGGCAAAGGATTTAGACTTCCATGTCAGTACTAGTAATCCTGATTTGCAAGGCTAGGCAAGGCAGGCATTTTCTACACATGTGGGAAACAGCATTAATATAGATCCATCCGTATGCTATATACACTGTCTTCTGATCATTTCTCACTTCTTTGCATTTTACAAATATTAAAACGTAGTCTCTAATCAGTGTCTCTCTTCTCAGCTTTTCCCTTCTGCTGCACCCAAGATTCAAACTTTACTGCACGACCTTTATCACATGGTAGACCCAATGAGGCGGCTTGGTTCAGTCCTGACTGTGCATTGGTTGCTTTCCAGTTTACTTGAACAATTCCAGTTCATGACTAAAGAGACGCATACAAATCTTTCGGAATGGTAAGATAGCTATTATGTTATATGTTCAGGAGTAGTTTCTCAGATGATATTAATTGCAGTAGCTTCAGTGAGCACCATAAAACTTAATCCTTCAGTAGATTTACGTGGATTTACAGCAGTTGTGGTGAAGATCCACCATCCCATCATGGTGCAGTGTCAGCCATTCTGCCCTTCGAATTGCAGCTAGGTTTCTACATAGGACAGTTTTGCCCATTTCTATCACGGAGGACTCTGGGTTAAAAATTTAATTGAAGCTACAGTAAAATTTTGTCTAAGAAACATGAAGTGAATTAGGTAGGTTATTTCTGAACAACTGTAAACTCAAAATTAGGAGTGCGTACCAGGGTTAAGACCATCTTTTAATGTATTCACCAATTAGAAGCAAAACTGTAAAGAAAATATAAAATTTCAGGTGAATATTTTTCCAAAAGGGACAATCATTTTGAGTGGCTTTAAATTTTCTGTCCATCAAGAGACAGGTCAAAGGGATCCTCATTTTAACTGTTTTTGAAAAGCTAGAAAAAATACTGTAATGACAAGGTTGGATCCACTGAGGTTCTGACAAGAGATTTTATCTTTCATAAGGAGGGAGGGAGGGAGAAAGGAAAGAAGAGAGGAAGGAAGAAAGGGAGGAAAGAAAAGAGAGAGTAAGGAATGAATGAAGAGAAGGAGAAAAGTCATGGTTTATTGTATGTTTAGCATAAAAATTGTAAAAAATGTGTTTTCTGTGCTCATTCTGTCCTGGCTAATGACATTTCATACACCATACTTTTTTACTGACTACAGGCCTATATTATTTTTCAAACAAGGACTTGGCAAGAGAGACACGTTAGAAAATGTGTGTGCTCCACTCCACAGAGTCTCAAGTAAAATGTGCAAATTACATTATTTTGTACATTTTGCTTGGACAATGCCATAGTGACTATACAAGGCATCTGTGAGGTTTCTTAAGTTTTAATTTTGTTCCTCATTGAATTGGGCATGGCTTTCAGCAAGTGAATAGTCATCACTGTAGCTTTGTTTGCTTGGCTATAAAGTGGAACTTAAACTTTACCACTGTGCTAGGTAACTGGTTATTAGTGTTTTGAAAATACACAGTTCCATGAATGTGCTAAGTATTATTGTTGTTACTGCAGGCCACTCCATGAAAAGTAACTCAAAGATGCAGCTGCTTGCATTCATGTGTAAGCCCTTGCCCTTTTGCCAAAATATTTAGGTTAGCATATCAAAGCATACCAACCTTTAGCAGCTTTCTGTTCTAATCTAAGCTGTGCCACTCACTCACTCACTTTGAGCCAGCCCCTTGGCCTCTTTTTTTCTTCAAGCTGAACATTATTGTATGTGTATAAATATGTAGAAGTACCATGACCTTCCTCCAGGGCATAGGCCAATCTGCTTCTTTGCGCTGTACTTTTCTGCAATGGCTAAGCTAATAATACCATTCTGTTCATTCACTATCTAAAAAACCGTGTGTTTTGACATTGCTAAATCGTAATCTTCCACTCCTATAGCTACACGCATGTGATGGTGATGCATGTGTCAGATATGCGTGTAATTATACTTAATTGCAAGGAAGAAAGAGCTTAGTAGAGCTTACTCCCCAAATAACTCAGGTATGCATTTTCTGTGAGCTTTGATTAATCTTTTTTGAGATTCCCAGCTTTAATGAGTTTGTATATCAGAACGCTTTTCCTGAATTTCTTCAGTTAAGTCCAGGTTGTTTGTTTGACTTATTTAACAGTTCTTATTCCTCTGACTATGCAGAATTGATATTTCCATTTACAAAATCCAGTGATTTGCATAGCTGACTGTCCAACCAGACAAGCACGGATAGTTATGGGAAAAATAATGACTTCTGACTTGGGTCTTGTACAGTTATGCTGTTTGCTGATCATGAATCCATGCATAGGATGGAGACAGGATTTAAAGAAGTTTCCTAGTGTACTTTTATTAACCCATTTCATCTACATGACCAGTATTGAAACCTTAAATGGTATTAGTGAACTCTGAATTCCTTCCACAGGAGAAGCAAGAAGAACTCTAGAAACTCATCTCAAGCTATAATGAAATGGTTACAGCCTAGGTGAGAATGACCATCTCGGATGTATTGGTAAAACATATGACAAGGTTCTTTGAAAGTGATGGAGGGGTACTACCTAATGTGCACTGAAATACATTTTCTGCATTGTTTGTGCACTGGTTTTCAACTCTGTGCAGTTTCAACTTGTGATGTGACTAAGACATACATCATTACTGGCTTTTAGAATAGGGGCCATGAAGTACTGTAGCAAGTATGCTTGGCTGTGTCAGACAGCAGAGTAGCATGGGAGAATCAGATTAGTGAGAAAAGCTAACCTTTTTTTATTTGCATGAGACAAAAGCCTAAGCAGGTCAGTAAAGTTGCAGATGCTTTTATGAAACCAACAGATACGTTTGGAAAAGTGTTACTAGCTTCCCATGTGCAAGCCTTTTGTTAGGTCAAAATAGAAGCAGCAGCCCTCAAACTGAATTTGGGTTGAAAATAATTTCTTGGAGTTTAAACTTGGTCACGCTCATCACCTGGGTAGTTTGAGAAACAAACGTGGTTCCGATTATGAAGCAGAAGAAGACAACAGCAAGGAAGTCTGGGATAAGATCAGTGATCTGTAAAGGGAAGAAAAAGAGACAGAGGGAAGGAGAGAGACAGCTGGGATTAAGTGCCAGGAAACCAATCCCACTCTTGAGTGTACAATTTTGGAGTTTTCTTTTGAAGATCAGCACAAGATACTTCATGCGGTGAACCAAATGCCCTCATGGAAACTCTGTGACTGAAGCCAAGCAAACACTCTACGAAACAGAGCTCACACTGCCAGTTAATCAAACAGAAAAAAATTTCTAGTGATCATGTTTCACAGAATTACCTCTGGTGGCTCCTCATTTTCAAGGGAGACCTCCAAAACATCATCTAAAGAAATAAAATTCGTAACTCTACTGCATACTGAAATACGGTTTCAGCATTGACTTTATGACCCATTAAAAATTTTACCATCCACAACTAACGCATCCATCAGAGGCCCCAAAAGAGACCAGATTTTTCCCTTTTTATGTTTTAATCTTATGAAAGATATTATCTATTTCTATATATCCTTCATTGCTTATGTGTCTAGTTGCTTAGACCATCAGAGCTACATTACTATTGCTGCTGTCAATCCTTTTTCGTTTGCTGAACCAGAGAGATTCCTAAAGGACAGGCTCACTGTCAACAGTCTGTGATGTATGCAGCGGGGGTCTCTCAAAAGGTAGATTGACAAGCAGGCACTCACCTCGGGTACCTGACATGTCGTCATTAGTTCCATTAGAGCTAATTGCAAGGTGTGTAGGCAATGCGCACATCTGTGCTTGATAGCTCCTCCAACTTACTAAGCAAATAAGGGGCTGCTCGTACAGATGAAGGTCCCTTCTTGAGTAACAGCGTGTGAAGGAAAGGACCCTGCAGAGCCCAGGATCTCAGCCCCTCCCTGCCTGAGGAAGAGCTTCATAACTGCATCGCTCCTCAGTCCTGCAGCTGCAAGGAGCTTGGGCAAATGAAAACTTGATGGTGTTGATGACTAAAAAGTCCAGTCTTCAGCAGAGTTAAATACAGTCATCTGAGTATCTTTCTGTAATAGCATCTCTAAATATTACATTTTGATACCCTGCTGTAATTAAGTAGAGTTATTTTATGTCTCTTAATGTTGTCTGATGATAATCGTAATCTCTTTACAGAATTGGCTTGTGCAGGTCATGCAGTTCCTTTGGGAGCCAGGGCCTTGCACTTGTGGCTGGCATACTCCTGAGGTGTCCTCTGGCTAAACAAAAGTCTGGCATTTTATGGAATTAAGAGATCTTGTTTCCACCTTACAATAGGGTCTGGGACTGGGCAATGCAAAAAGGAACAGCAGAGAGAAAAAACGCATTTGGCAGGTGTTAGTCATTACCTCCTTGGCAAGCAGAAAGAGGGATGCAAAAATGACTTATATCTTGAAAAATAAATTCTCTAATAGTTTGTTAAGTGCCTCCTTTGAAGGAAGTCATGAATGTGCATGAAATTAGGGTGGTGTCTAGACACCGCAAGTTCGAAACTACATGTTCGTGCACACACAGACACACACTGTGATCTGCCAGCTGCTTCTTCCCTTCTACAGAAAATACTGGGAGGAAAGCGTGTGAAAGCTTCAAGAAATGCTCATGGGCCTCTGAAAAGGTCTTATCAGCCAGAGGTCCAGTACATGGACTGGAGAGAAGCCTACTGCCTTTGTCCTACTATGCTCCCAAAATGCTATATGGAAGAAAAAATCTGCAGAGTTGGCAATATGGGCACCACTGCCATGCGAAAGAATTGTTGCAATTGACTTGATTTTTTTCACTGAGGATTAATATATATACTCTGGATGGTGATCATGTGATCTGTTTTGAACTAGCAAACAAATCAAAGCACATAGATGTTCCACTATATGAATTCGTGCTGGCGTTGGTACAGATATCCACCTTGACGCAGACCTTCATTTATATTTAATTCTTTATGAACAAGGTCTAACTCTGACCTCAAATATATACAAAAAAGCATCATACAAACAGTTAGGAGATATGGTTTGGGTTATTTTATTCTTGGCTGTATCCACTCTTCCTTCTCCTAGCAATACAGCTATGTTTTGAAATTTGTTTCTGCTTTTTCTTTTTTCACGTTGTATGCTACCATTTATTATGGATTGTGTGTTTTCTGTCATATTCATTCAGGTAATATTGCTAATGCTGGGAGCATGAATCCAGAAGGTTCATCTTTCCATGGAGAATATTAAAATACCATGTGCCCTGCGTTGCCACATAGACATTTTTAAATTTTTTTCCATGGTTTCTGTTCCTTCCATTCATGTAGAAATATGTCTGCTATTGAATTGACAGGAATCCCTCTCAAGAAAATGCGAGTCCTAAGCAGAACGTTCCTTCTGACTTCAGGAAGAATCATGAAGGTAAGACATCAGAGTAAGGTCCTTTATATATGGTATGGTTTTCCTATTTGTACTACTTCTGATAACATGTATGATTTAGATTAAATTGTTTTGCATTCCAGCTGGAAGGTCTTGACTTACTACATATAAAAGACCAATTTCTTCCTTGTCAGTGTAAGTTGTTCTGCTGAATCCATGAACAGTGTTCATGACCCTAAAGCAAAGATCTCACACTGAAAAGAATAAAAGTACACTGTATTTTTTATCATTAACAAAATGAGAGTGCCTTCTACAGGATTGTGAATCAGACTTAGAGCAGAAAATTATTAATTGTTTCTGTTTATCTTTCAGCATTACATTATTCCAGTAAGACTAAAGAAAGACGATGCAGTTATGGTAAGTTAAGGTCTTTCTAGACCACTAAGAGGGAAGAAGAGAGATTACTTGAACAAGTTTATTGGGTTTTTCTGCCTGCAGGCTATTTCGTAAAAAAAAAAAAAAAAAAAAAAAGAGGATTTTTAAGTAGCAAGAATGTTTATGAATCACTCAATAATTGGGCTATTATGTTAAATAAGCCTCAAGCACGAAGTTAAACATTGCTGTGCGTGAGTAGTAATGTGAGTATTCCAGCACTCACTGATTCCTTGCTGCACTTCAGTAGGCTTTTGCCCCTTATTTCCAAGAACTTTAGCATACATTTGTTCTTGTGGAATAACCTTTAAACTCGCATGGAGTTTCATTAGCCTTGCATAAGGCCAGTCTTCAGCTCAGTGATGGAGGTTTAAAGAGCTGCTTAAGAGATGAAGGGTTTTTCTAAAATATCTGCTTGTAGGAATATTTAAAGTATATTTAAAGATATGTAAAGATTTAAAGTATGTTTGTCTTTGGCGGGAGCAATGCTTTCTGCTGCCTTCCTCACTGGCACATTATCTGAGGGGTCACGTTATAAACATGAAACAATTACTCTGTGGTGGAAAGGCTTTCCTACCTGTTGAGCCTCATTTCCCCTCATGGTGCCTCCAGGAACTCCTCTGTGTCAGTCAGAGGCCAGAAATGCTCCTGGGATGGATGACTGGCACCGCCATTCTGATCACATGGTATTTTATTTTGAACATACCTCATTTCATTTTATTTTGAAAATTCCTCCTCATTTTTAAGCTAGTAGTGAGATAATATTTCTAGGTAAGGCATACAGGTTCTGGAGAATTATTTATACTGATCTGTAGGATTTTTTTAAATACGTTCTGTGTGTCAATTTATAAGTCCCTATTCCCCTACAAATCCAGCCCAAATTCTGCTCTTCCACCGCATTAACTTCCTTTACATCTTAATCCATGCAAGAGAGTGCTGAAATTGCCCTATTTTGTTTCTGAAGGCAGCTATTTCAAGGTAGAAGGCCCACACAGAACTGTTTGCATCCTTTACGACCCTTTTAAGCCATGTTTTAAGCCACAGAATTTTTCAGATATTATTTCCTGGCTGGAGTATTTTCTGAAGTACCCAGTTTTAAACACATACTAGAGAATATATGAGGAAAGCAAGTTTTGAATGTGTAATTATACTGTAAATCTGAATCCAATAGGTTGGATTAAAATATTTGTCATAAGTGGGTTGCCAGCAAATAATTATTCTTACAAGTCATTTGGCAAACACTACAAAATAAAGGATACATTTGAGCAAATAGGATTTGATTGTGCAGATTTCATACACAGGGAAGGAGCTGGAATTTGTTGATTTAGGAATTTTAATAAAACATTCTTCCATTTGTACTGCAAATGACCCCATGGGTCTAGATATCTCCATGTGACTTATGAACAGTAAGAGTATGTCAAACTTATTTTGATCTTTATTGGCAATTACACATGTACATAAACCCTGTACACAGGCTGGTACCTAAGTAGGTTATGGACTTTGGCCTAACTCTTCTTTAAGTTTCAGTTAACCAACTGGAGACAGGATCTCCCAGACCTAATCCTTGCATTTTCAAAGGCTTACTCAGACTTTGAGTTTTGTGACTCTGACTAGAGTCATTGGGCACTGAATGATTAAAATCCCTCCAGGGTCTAAACATTTCTCTCAAGTGCCAATACAAACTCCATTAAGACCTTGCAGCAGGATTATCAGTCTCAGCGTGACCGGGCATTAAAAATCTTGCCACTGTACATGTTATCAATCTGCCAGAAGTTGCATGTTACTTAAAAATGTTCATACATTTCACAGTTTTTTCTTTGATGCCTTCTTGGAACAGATAAAGATACCCTATCTCATATCAGGCAGATCTTCACCAGTCCACAGCTGGACCTGAATCCTCAGTTTAACCCAAAGATCAGAGAATACTATGCAGAAGTCCCATTCGACATGGTGACAGTGAAGATAGGAGCAGAACCCTCTAACTGTCAATGCCAAGTACATCTTGACGAGAAGAAAGGGCCAAGGTATGAGTGACAAAATACGACTGTAAAAACTGAAAGTGTCCTTAACTTTGGAAATATGTCAGAATATTACAGAACTGTTTTGTGTTTCCAAAAGCACAGAATGCCTATAGATTAGGCACAGCAAAGTCAGAGGAAGTTCAACACTCAGAAATTTGTATTTATTTGTCAGTGTCCCGAAGGCAATAGTAATATGTTCTCAAGCCATAATTAACCCTAGCTTTGAGGAGTGCACAGCTGCTAGCATCTCTCCCAGCTTCTCCAGTCACTGACAGCATCAAAGCTGGATGGGAACAGACAATCATCACGCTGCACACAGTAGGCAGCAAAGAGTTCGAGTGTTTGTATCTAGGCCTTGATTTTGCACTGTGGCCTAGGCTACTGCCCCAGTGGGCTTGGTAACTCAGCCAGCAGTCTGTTTATAAGGGTCAGAGTAGGGCAGCTGCGATCAAAAGAAGAAAAAAGTTCAAGTTTACTCATTCAGAATGATCCATTTTAATCAGAATTATATTATAAGGGATTGTCATAGAGTCATAGAATCATTTAGGTTGGAAAAGAACCTTAAGATCATCAAGTCCAACTGTTAACCTGTCTCTTAAATACCCTCAGGGATAATGACATAACCACTTTCCTGGGCAGCCCGTTCCAATGCTTGATAACCCTTTCGGTGAAGAAATTTTTCCTAATGTCCGATCTAAACCTCCCTTTGCAACTTGAGGCCATTTCCTCTTGTCCTATCATTTGTTACTTGGGAAAAGAGACTGACCCCCACCTCACCACAACCTCCTTTCAGGCAGTTATAGAGGGTGATAAGGTCTCCCCTCAGCCTCCTTTTTCCAGGCTAAACAACCCCAGTTCCCTCAGCCGCTCCTCATAAGACTTGTGCTCTAGACCCTTCACCAGTTTTGTTGTTCTCCTCTGGACACACTCCAGCACCTCAATGTCTTTCCCGTAGTGAGGGGCCCAAAAATGAAGACAGGACTCGAGGTGCGGCCTTGCCAGTGCCAAGTACAGGGGCATGATCACTTCCCTGGTCCTGCTGGCAACACTATTTCTGATACAAGCCAAGATGCTGTTGGCCTTCTTGGCCACCTGGGCACACTGCTGGCTCATATTCAGCCGCCTGTCAACCAGTAGCCCCAGGTCTTTTTCCGCCATGCAGCTTTCCAGCCACTCTTCCCCAAGCCTGTAGCGTTGCATGGGGTTGTTGTGACTCAAATGCAGGACCCAGCACTTGGCCTTGTTGAACCTCATACAGTTGGCCTTGGCCCATCGATCCAGCCTGTCCAGGCTCTATAGAACCTTCCTACCCTCAAGCACATCAACACTCATGCCCAATTTGGTGTTGTCTGCAAACTTACTGAGGGTGCACTCAATCCTCTCATCCAGATCATTGATAAAGATGTTAAACAGAACTGGCCCCAATACTGAGCCCTGGGGAATGCCGCTTGTGACCAGCTGCCAACTGGATTTAACTCCATTCACCACCACTCTTTGGGCCCGGCCACCCAGACAGTTTTTTTACCCAGCAAGCATAGACCCTTCCAAGCCATAAGCAGCCAGTTTCTCAAGCAGAATGCTGTGGGAAACAGTGTCAAAGGCTTTACTAAAGTCCAGGAAAACAGCATCCACAGCCTTTCCCTCATCCACTAAGTGGGTCATCTTGTCATCAGCAAGAGTCCCAGCTTATCTGATCCTTTAGAGAAGTATAAAGCTGGAGGATAGGAGAGAGAGCAAAGTCATCACTAAACATCATGTTTGAGCACTGACCCACAATCATCCATGATGTTTAATTGATACTGCGAACCCTGGCACAGTTTTGGCTCTCCCAGCCAGCTTTCTCACAGACAGCAGCATGTGCCAGGGACAATCCCAATAGGCATTTTGGGCATGACCTGGTTTTGGAAGTTGGGACGGACATAAAGTGTTTATTTATCTGGGTAGGGTACCTCAGAACCAGAGAACTAGCCATTAGTGAGTGGATAAAAGGCAGAACAGGGACAATGATGTGCTTGGGAGGAAGAATCCCTAAGTATTACAGAGCTAGCTTTGCTTCATGGCATGAAGTGCCATGGCATGCAACACACCATCTTTTGACTGACTGTGAAACAAATGCCTTGACCTAGAATGTCTGCTAATAACCAGACATTCTGTACAGTTGTTACTGATCTAATGCCTAATAAACTTCCTGTATTTTCAATAAGAAATTAGTCTTGATTTATCATTTCAAAAGAAGGTCCCATAAAATTCTTCCACCCAACTTTTTAGTGTTTTAATGTTAACCACCTTGGCAGTCAACATGGATACATGTGAAAAACTTTGAGATTTTTCCTTGTAAAAGGAAAAAAGAATGTTTACACTGAAAAGTAAAAGCCCTGGATGTGCAGGTTCTGTGTCTTTCAGCATTTCTCATTTCCCTGCCAAGGGAGGAGCACAGTCCAGCTTTGCTCCTGTCTGTCACTCTGAGCAGTTTGTCTGGGAATCCACCACATTTGGCTAGTGGACAATTTCGATGGCTAGCTGACACCTCTGATCTTGTTTGTCTCCCTGCTGACTTCACCGTGAACGTGGACCTGCCAGGAATTATTGTCCCTAGGGGCTTCATTCACAGATTTTATGTCAGATTTGTTGATGCTGAAGCTGTTTTCACTAAGTTTCACTGTCGGTATTTTGTTTTCCTGAAAGAATTGCAAATTGTTACAAATCTTAATTTACCCTGTTTTTTATTTAAAATCATATGTATCTTGTAAGAGAAACAAAACGTTAGAAATAGAAGCCTCAAGGAGCAAGTAAAGCTTAGCTGCCATAGGTAAAGCAGTGTAAGTGTTTCCTTAGTGTTCATTCCACTTCTTGCCTGTTTTGCCTTGCAGCATTGCTAACTATCCCCTTGGCCTTGGATTGAACAAAGTCATCATTCTCGTAACAGATGATTCGCAGCCCAGTCCTCAGGTTGTGAGCAGCTACAAAATCACAATTTATCGCGAGGACCGCCCTAGTCTGCCATTGTTTGATGACTATATGATGTGTGGGTTTGTGCAGGTATTGTCTCTTTATTCTTTTGATATACAAATTAATAGTGAATTTAACTGTTTGCTATTCATCCAGTGCTATAAATTAGGGTACATGGGCCAAAGCTGGTGTAGAGAAGCTATGGTGATAAAGATACTCTTCGTAAAATAGAAAACCTGGGACACAGACTGGAGCAGAGCTATTTGGATTCCAAAGTCTGAGGACCAAATGTTGGTACTCGATATGGTGGGCAAAGATAAACCAGTTGATTCAAAGAGGGAAGTGACATGGTAAACCACAATCAAGGGCAGTGCTTTTGTCTGTGGGATTTTAGGCAGATTAAAAGGTTTGGTGCATTCATTCTAAACATTAGAGCATCTGGGAGGAATATATTTCATCACAATTAATTCTTCAGCCAGGAAGTAGGATTTTCAAAACCATAGCATTGAAACTGTCATGCATGTTCATGTCAAATGTCTAACACTATCTTTATTTTTCTTCTTTATGAAGATCTTTATATATCAATATAACTTTTTTGTAAAACTTATTTCCCTTCTCTGGTTTCTTTCTATATACTGCAGAAGAGATTGGGAGACCAGGGTGGCAGAAGGCAGAGCATTTTGTGTGATGGGACAGATTAAGAGGTGGTTTTTTTTTTCTTGTGGAGAAATAAGCACTGAGGCTTGAAACAGGAGCCAAGGAGATTATAAATGTTGATAGTAAATTGTATGTTGACAATAATTATCTCAATCTGCAAATCAGAACTATCAGACTAAATGTACGTAGTAGTCATAGCCATAGTAGTCATAGCCTACTGACCTGATTATGGTGCTGTCTGGCCCTCTACCTATTCTTCGTCTCTTCTCTTACACTTATCTTACAAGCTCAAAAGGTCAAGGACCATATTCTTGCTCTTTGTACTGGCTCAGCACTAGATCTAGTAATTGCTACAGTAAAACAAATATGAATAAAAACATATAATACCTAAGATTTCAGTTCAGGTGTACAGCAATTTTCCTGACACCTTAGGTGTGAATTAATATGAAAAGGAGAGCAGCAATGGGTTGAGCTGGAGATATGTTACTAGAACACACTGGCTGGGAAAATGTGAGGAAAGCTCCTCTTGTTGCCCAATTTGGGGCATGTGTCTGGGTGTAGGAACAGGAATTCAACCTCATAGACATCCTCCCACACTAGAGTTTACACTGTTGTTAATGTTTTATGATAGCGTTTATGAGACTGAGTATGAATCTTTGAAGCGCAATGAAGGCAAAGAGATCTAGAATGATAAAAATTTAAAGTGTTTTAGAAGTTTCTTTGATTGAGCTTGGTTTTCTGCTCATCTTTGAATAACTGCCCTCTAATTATTGTAATTGTTCAGAGCTAGGGAGGACTACAGGAGTTTAGAGTAAAAATGAGATGAAAAGCATTCTTGTGGTATCTAATGAGGGCTGTGAAGATACACTGTGAGATTCTAAAACATTTTTTTTAGATATGTTAAAGGCAAACTTATCAGTGCGTTTAAAAAACAAACAAAGGCTGGAGCTGGAGATAGAAATGGCATTCTAAAACACTCAAAAGCCTGCAATTTTTTCCCTTTCCCCTATTTGCTAGAACAGAATTTATTGCCTTTTGCTTAGAGTAATGTTTTTTATTGATACAAAACTCAGGTCTTAAATAGGATCATTGCATTCTGCTTTTCCTGTCAGAGAACATTATGCACTCTTGCAGGGCGGGTTAATACACCCTGGTCAATGGCACAAATACTTGCTCTTTTAGTAACAAGACACCTGTTTTAGGAGCAAAAGGATAAATACAGCGTGAACTGATGGAGTCTCCTTTGGACACTTGACTAGGCACAACTGGGATCACACATGGGGAGAGAAAGGTCACTGACAGTGGTGTGGTCTTTCTCACAGAAGGCTTCAGTTAAAATTCTAATCCAGTGACTTTTTTCCCTGACTTTCTTTTATGTTTAATCCCATTAGGATATTCAGGTTTCACTGCAAGATGATACTATGAGGAAGGTTACAATAAAAAGACAGAGTGTGGGATGTTGTTTCCAGTCTTCTAACAATTCTCATGCAGTTGAATAATCCTGGATTAATTTCAAGGCTGTTGAGTTAAGGACTGTGTGGTTCCAGCCCCTAAAAATATTGTCGCCTCTACTTTTTGATAGCAGCTATTATACCCGCATTAAAACCACAGTGGTAGGGGATAACAGCATAGCACCTTCAGCAGCTCTGACTGCCTTTCATTGCGTGTTCTGCACTCTGACAGTATTGCTAGGGCTGCAGGTGGGCAGGTTATTGGTTTGTGCTTTAACTTAATTTTGTGCAACTGTTGACAATATTCAAATTAAGTCTCCTTGAGAGAAGTGGTGCTATTTCATTATCACCTCTGAAGTTGTGATACCAAGATAGGCAGAATACAAAGCAAGCAGCAAAAAACAGCGAGCTCTTAAGACAAGGGTATCAGCATTATCCTCACGTGAAGGATCCCAGACTACAAACACACTGTCATAAAGGACAAAATATTTTCTTAATTCTTGCACTGCCCATTATCTTTCAAATGCAAACAGATTTATCTGTGCCTCACTTAAAATGTGTGGATGCTACCTCTTTGTTAATCTTTGCCTAGTTGCAATCATGGAAAGTAACTGGTGATGTGCTTAGAGAATCTCGTTTGACACTGTGAACTTTTGTACCTATGGTGTCCTGCTGCCCCATGTTTTGGGTTTTGGTTTTGTTTTTTTGGTTTGGTGTTTTGGGTTTTTTTTTTGTATTTTAGTAATACAGTTATTTATTTGTTTTTGCGTTTGCATTGTGAGTGATGGATAGCTAGTATTATATTTTAGAGCCATAGCATGTATCATTCTCTTTGTCTGTGTATTTGCAAAAATGTGCAAAACCACTTTCCAGAATCAGTGCCGTGGGCTGATGCTCTGGCTCTCCAAAGCTTTCTCAGGTCTGAGAGGATGGACTTATAGAACAGCTTTGAAAACATTCCTGATTTTTATAGAACACCCTATTCTTAAGTACTATTATCTCTTACATTTTTATAAACCCTTTTATCACATTAATTTCCTAGAGTCCAGACAGCATAAGAAGTCCAACAGAGCTGATAATGAAATACTGGTATAGCACTGCTGACTGCGTAACACTAAATGGCTGCAATGCAGCTGGCAACAAGATGTCAGCGGCAAGATGTTGATTGCTCTTTCTGTCTACTAGACTTCCATTGATGAAAAAGCAACTAAGACCTAGGACTAATATAACAGCTATATTTAACTTTACTATTGTCTTTGAGGGATAGAGATTCTCTTTCAGAAAGGAAGAAGCCTTTTATAAAAAAACAACAAAGTAATTTCATTCTTTTGCTATGTGAGATATGAGACTACTTATATTTTTTCAGCTCAAGTTATAAATTTCCCAAGGAAAATAAAATGTTTTTACTTTATTTTAAACTGTGTGCTATTACAGTTACAATGTCTTTCATACCAGACAGTACAAGTAAAAACTGTCAATTATAGAAACATAAATTAACCCTTTGCCTACTGCTTTCATGCAAAGATTTCAAAGCACCTTCAAAATATTAAATAATGTCCATAAAATAGAAAGGGGGGAAAAAAAAAAAAAGCTTATGAGAGAGACAAAGAGCTTATCCTGTAGCAGGACAGGCCTGAAGCACAGTAGTCTCTTCTGCATTTCCCATTAGCTGCATTAGATTCAGTGTGAGCCCCGTTACAAACCACCCATCCCTTCTGTCCTTAGGACATTTCAGACATCATATGCAGGCTCTTAGGTTTTGCAGTGCTTGTCTGCAGCAGCATCTAACCTTCTTGGCAGTTCTGGGTTTAAGTGTCTTGCTGGAAAACACAGAAGAAGTGCATCTCTGGAACGGAATATACAGCCTCATTATATCAGCAACCAGACTGTATCTTATTTGCAAAGTTAGCTTACTTCCCTTTCAGAGAATAAAAGAATATCCATTATAAGAGCAATCATGCATTGCATTCTTTAGTCTTCTCAGATCCAGAGCTGGTGAGAATTTTTTCAGTCGTTTTGAGTTTCAGAAAACAAATAATGCCCCAAAATTAAAAAAAAAAATAGTTTGAGTCCATTTTTTTTTCTTTTTCTGTTTTGTTAAAGCTTTCTGATTATGGAAAAAAAATTAAAGAAAAGCATATGCTTTCTTCAAAAGAAGATATTTGGATTATTTGATTAAAAGATATTTAAATTCAAAATTTACATTGGCATAAGTGTTAAATTAGAGATTTTAGCTAGTGTGCAGTCCAGGATGCTGACTCTGCTTTCCAGGAGGGAGTGGCTGGGACAAGCAAAAAGCCCACTCATTATTAGATCTGAAATACTCAAGCCTATACTCTAAATTTTTCTTCAGAAACATTGGTGAGAGCATAGTATGACAGTCGTTTTTTCCAGGAGCAATGCCAACTTAAGCATCCTCTTCCCTACCTGCAGCTACTTGTGAACCAGATGGGAGAACATTTTTTTTTTTTTCTTTTATGGACTAGTTTCTAGGATAAGGTTTCCAATCTCTCTGTGTGAACACAAGGGAAAGGGTAGGGGCAGGGGCAGGACTGAGCAGCTGGGCACAGAAGGGTGGTGGTGGGTGCTGCTTAGGGCAGCTTTTGCTCCCTTTGTGAAAGAAATTCGCATCGAGATTGGGTTTAAAGCTCTTGTGAGTGCATAGTTATAGCTGTGCAGAAAAAAGCAGAGAGCTGGTTCTAAATGAGCAGGAGCTTCATGTTCAGAAATAGTAGAAGTGATTTATGGGTGAAAACACACAAAACACTAGAAGCATATTTGCATTGCTACTAATCTGTTAAATAAAGCTTGAATTATTTTAGATTTTGTGTGCCTGCAACCCACTCACCAGGACAGACAAAGCAGTGTTCCCACAACCTTGAGGAGGAAAGATGTAGCAAACTGAATACATTGTTAGATTGGAGGCATTTCAGATGAAAGCCACAAAACGATTAGAGAGCTAGGACAGAGAAACTGCCATGA